CTTTGCTCAAAATGATTGGCGGTATATTATCACGTGATAATGAATTATTATTATACTTATGAGATCGGTGGAAATTGATTGGCGAGTAGCTAAGTCTCCATGATGGTATAAGGTTAGACTTGCTGTACAGGGTGGCACTGAGAGGTACAGGTTAGAACTGTTATAAGGATGGAATGATGTAAAGGTTGGAACTTGGCATAAGGTTGGAACTTGATTATGTTTGTGATCATCGTATCCTTTGATTGTGGTTCTTGTATCACTTTGCTTATGAGCATATCTTTATGTGATCTTTGATTGATATTGATTACCTCTCCTTGATGGTTATCCTTGTATCGTATTATTGTCTCCTTGATTTGACCCTATTGTTTAGCCGTATGTTGGTCGGTATGATCGAGTGTGTCTCTCGATGAGTCAAATGATGCTTCTATCTCTCTTGTTATAAAGCTAGTGTTGCTAAGACTATACTTATGTATTCCAAGTCTCAAAAGTGGTTTATATATATATATATATATATATATATATATATATATATATATATATATAGGGTTGCATTCACATGCAAACACCCTTAAAATACAAACGTGTGGACAATTTGAGACTGTAGGATTAGAGATATGGATGGATTAGATTTACACAGATCCTAGGAGTTAATAAAGATGTTTTAATTTTAAAAGGGGTAATATTGGTAATGCATGCATTGGTTAAATATGGAATTTATTTTTTAGGATATATAACACGATTAGAAGAATTGTAATTTAGGTAGGATTCCTAAATGCAATTATAATCAAACAACACTATCAGTAAAAGAATCCAACAGGCTTCTGTGATGCTTCTAAGATCATGGGAAAAAGGGCATGAATAGGTCTAGGTTAGCATCATCTAGCAGGAGACGTAGGACGAGTATTGTATTTTGTGTGACACAGTTAGTGACTTTGCACACATGAACGTGCATACGTGCACATAGGTGGACCCATATTTAACATGTGCATAGACACATGTAACTATGTGCAATGTTATTTTATAGTAGATGACAAAAATGAGGAATTTCATAATAGAATTAATGTGTGCATAGACATTAACAATTGTGTGCACAGGAAAATTAAAAATCTGTCTTTTAGACACAGGAAAATTAAAAATCTGTCTTTTCTTAAATACGTGCATGATTTACGAATAAATAATTAACTGGTTAGTTGGTGCTTAGCTTGCACGAAAATGAAAAAGTAATCTCGTGCAGTGGATTAAGTGTACACAGTTTAGTTCGTTTGTGCACACGGAATTATTGATTTGCAACATGTGTGCATAAATGTGATTTAGTGTGTGCAAACCTACTTTAATTACGCATTCTACAATCTTCCGTGTATTGTAAACCTGCACTGCATTGGAGAAATGCACACAATAGTGCACAAATGTTACCACATTCATGCACCACACTTGCAAATCCCACCCACTGCACACAATAGACTACGTATATGCACACGGTTTATCCTGGGGTAGTTGGGGAACAGGTAGCCTCCCAGAATGCGTAGGTTGTGCACAAAAATAGAAAAACAAGTAAAAATCTTAATTTAAAATAGAATACAAGTCGTAAGAACAAACAGTGACGAAACTGCTTTGTATTTAGGATCTAACAATCGATAGTTGTAAAGACCTAATAAGTGTTTGAGCGGTGGTACTATCATTATAAAATAGCCTTAAACAAAAAAAAAATATAATATAAACATGGGCATTTGCAAGTTGCCAACCGTGAGCAAAAAATTGAGGCATTTCACACCGGGACTTCTTGCAAGGAACGCCAAAGGTGGTGAAACAAAATCATCATCGCTCTTGCAACTGTGCGAGGCACCAAGTTGAGAATGAGATACCTTTGACTTCTTACCTGCAACAACCACACAACACAACAAAAAAGTATTTTAAGTATGGTATATATTAATTAGTGGATTATTTGAAGTATTTTTGCGCTAATAGTTACAGTGTGCACCTATAGACCATGAATTTGGTCTTACTGTGTGTATACTAAAATGCAATGGCTAAACACTCCCAGTTTGGGTTGAGTGCACATGGGTGCACACAACTACAAAACACACGCTAGTGAAACGACCAATGGCAATGGGAAACAATGAAAACTTGTAATTAAATACGACTAGGAAGTATTAGCAGTAAATAATAACAATAGATGAGTTTCAATAATACAGTTACTGTGGTACAACAGTGCGTGATGAGAGAACAGAAGAACAACTACGATCATCGTTAAAAAGAAGCAAACAAAAATAAATAAATAAATAAATAAATAAATAAATAAAGGATTAACTCAAAATTTCAAAGGTTTAGGCTTCTAAAGGAACACATGTGAAGAAACTCTAGAAAATGTGAGAGTACTAAGTGTACAGAATGAAGTACTTACTGACTAAAATGCAACATATCATTTCAGAAACGAACATAAATGCAATGTAATTGAATAAACAACTAATATCTTTCCAAATGCAGGACTCTTAAAATGATCTAATGTTAACATTTATGACCATGTTTGCAAAAAGGTTCAGGTTTTAGATACTAGGCATCCATCAACTTCATTTTTTCCTACAGTTTTCCACCCAACCATGCACACATCTAAACCACTCGAACAGCTATAGCGACCATATACAACGCATACGAAAAAATAATTATTTGAAAAAAAACAAAAAACAAAACCCATGCTGTGATTGAGAAGACAAAGATTGATCCTAAGGGGTTTCTTGAAACTCTTAGTAGAATTTAATCACAAGGGCGAACCTGGATGCCCATTTTTAGTACAGAGGTTACAGAAATTCGAAACTCCTACAGTTGTTCAACTTTAGACGTAATTTATCTGTTTTATGTTTTTTCTCTTTTCTATTTCTAATACCCAATGGTGGTGTTGTGTAAACAATGTATATATAGAGGGAAGGTAAATTCAGACATATGCATTCTACATTTCGAGGGGTACCAAACTCCATCGAAGCTTTAGGCATTTGAGCTTCAGAGAAAAAAAAAATCATAAGTCCATAACCTGTACCGCAACTGTAATCTACCGGAAAAACAAACAACCCCCACACACAGATTCGCTACCGGCCACCCGCGGCCACCAATACCGAAAAAAAAACACGGTAAACGAATTGAAGGTAAAACGGGCATAAGAAAGCTAAGCACCCAAGCACCCACCGTAACCAAAAACTAAACACAACTTCACGTAAAAATGGGGAAAACAAAAACCTAGATACAGAAATTAAACCCAAAAATCGGAATCCCATCAACTGCAAACTACACGCACACGACTAATATGGCTGAGCAAATGCATACCCACAACAAGAAATCGGCAACACATATGAGAGAGAGAGAGAGAGAGAGAGAGAGAGAGAGAGAGAGAGAGATATATGAACGGTAATGCTACAACATAATCGGGAGTGTGGAAGTAAAAGCTGGACTGCCTAGGTTAATTAGAAGGAAAATCCTAAACTACCCCCACACTAATAATAAAAACAGGAAAACTAATTAAAAAGGCACACTACAGATAGAATGATCCTAATCGTCCAACACCCACATCTAGCGATCAAAATTAGTCCACACGTTTTTATTTTAAGGGGTGTTTTTACCTGAATGTAATTATATATATATATATATATATATATATATATATATATATATATATATATATATATATATATATATATAGTACTCAACGCGTTTGAGTGGGTTACTTAACATTTTTCGCTAACAGTTGTAATACCTTATGCTTTTCAGGTACAGTCTAGTTGGTCGAGAGAGCGCTAGTGGAGCCGTGGTTCCTAGAATTAGTTTCCCTTTTTGCCTTAGTTTTGATGGCCTGTGAGCCAATATGACATACTGTTGACATTATGAATAGTTACACTTTGTTTGATAGATGTTTTTGGCCTGTGCATCTAAGTCTGTAACTTAGATGTGGCATAGAACCCCATTTTTGTATAGTTAGCTTCCGCTTTGCTTGATCTTAATGATTAGACTTATTCCTATTTTTCCTAAGCTACAAAATGTTTTGAATATTGCTTAAAATCGGGGGTGTTACACTACATGTGTGCTAACCTTGTGTTTCACGCTCGAACCAAACACGTCAAAATAGACTACCACTTTGTTCGTGACAAGGTTGGTTTCGGGGAGTTCCAGGTCAATTTTGTGTCCACAAAGGATCAGCTGGCTGATATTTTCACGATGCTGTTGCCAGCTCCGCGCTTTGGGATTCTTCGGGACAAGCTCAATGTTGTCTCCCTCCAACCTTGTGCTTGAGGGTGTGTGTTAGAGATATTAGGAGTGTGTGTGGTTATATTTAGTTTGACTAACTAATAGCCTATTGTATAGGATGTTTACGTTACTTGTGTTGATTGTATTATTGTAATCTTTGACAGAGATATTGAATAAGTAACACACTCCTTCATTAATATGATATTCTACTTGCGAACCATTCGATAAAAACTTGATTTCAAGTTTGATCAAATTTAAACTTGAACTAACTTACTTTTTTTACTCATGATTTGTCGAGCGACTTGTATGTCCCATATAATGAAACTCAAATTAAATCTATTTTGCCTCATGAATCGTCGAACCACTATATATATGTGGTTCGGACTCGAGCTCAAACTCAATGTTACCTAGATTCGAGCTCGACTTGATATTGATCATAATAGTATCTAATACAATATATCATGTATAACTATCGATACTAATCACAATAATATTTATTACAACCAAGTATATAATACGTGATTAAACTCAATACTATCCACACTATAGAAAAATTCAAAATCTATATATGTATATTAGAAAAATTAAGAATAAAAATAACTATTAAGTCATCATTTAAATACCATTATCCCAAAAGTAAATTTGAATTGAGTTTCAAGCTTTATTTAATTTATATAAACAAATCATTAAAAAAAAAAAAAACATATTTTGACTGGTTCAAAGTTGAAACCATTTGGCACCAACAAAACATATGAAACACGAACCGTTTCCTTGGTTTTGGCGCAAAAGCGGAATCGCATGGGGAAGCCATTCTTTCTGCTATAATAGCAGTTGGAAGAGGTAAAAGAGAGAGCCGGCACGCTACCTCTTGAATGAGGGCAACGCCATAGCCCATATCCCCCCTTATCTTCTACCTTTTTCCGTATTATATACAAGGCATTACCTGTATTCGTTCATTCTTACGCACAGTTGCGTGTATATATATATATACCTATATCTATATCTATATCTATAGCTTCATTCCTAGACGCAGGCGAAAATGGCGTCGCCCAGGATCGGTGGGTCGAGCAACAGCAGCTATGATCTGTCGTTTAAGATCTTGTTGATAGGCGATTCCGGAGTGGGGAAGAGCAGCCTCCTCGTCAGTTTTATCTCCAATGCCGTTGAAGAACTTGGCCCTACCATTGGTAATCCCTACTATACCTATACGCTACTGCTCTCTCTCCTTTTCTCCTTTTACAGATTCATGATTTCATCATCCTGCTGCGATATGGATGTCGGAGATTCAACTTCTCTACATACATGATTCAACATTTCTGCAATGATGTGAAATTTTCGTGTTTGTTATAATAATAATAATAATTCCCCTAATTTCTTGCATTTGTGATTGCATTTCCAATATTATTTAACCATTGTTTTGGATTATTAATGGTAATTAAGTCTCTCTCTCTATATATATACATATACATATATAGGGGTGTTTGGTAAATAGCTTTAGCGGATTGGGTTAGTGGATTTGATTAGTTGATAACATTAGCCGTAGAAAAGTGTTTGATAAATTAGCTGCAAAATGATTTTTTCAAAAAGCTTATTAAAAATGCTGCTTTGAATTTTAGCATTTTGGAGCAATAAGCTGTTACAATGTAAAAAGCTAATTAATCAACACTATATTGATTGTTTAACCAAGTGAAACAGCTAATATTGAACAAAATAAGCCAAAATTGACTGATAAGTTAACTATGTTACCAAACAAGGCCATACGGGGTTTAGGTTGTGTCCTATAGTTTTTTTTTTTTTTTTTTTCTTCCCTCCAGCTTTGGAAATCAAAATCATCCTGGTTGTACCATGGGTTGTTGGAAGGTTGTACCAATTTGAATTAAAATTGTAGCAAGAAAAATCAAATTTTGATATAAATTACAAAAATTATAAATTTGGGCTAAAATAGCAATTGGTCCCAAAGGTTAGGCTTTTTCTTGTTATTAGGCCTTATGATAATAGTATATGGTTGTTTTTGGATTCTTGACTGAAGTTAAAAGATACTGTTTATAATGGAACATGCAAGAAGTGAACTTTTTAATCAATTTTAAATAAGGTTTGAGTGATTCTTGACTGGATTCTTATTTTCTTTATTATCAACTTCTTTGTTTCCTTTGTTTTTTTTTTTTTTTTTTTGTTCTTTTTTTGGGTTTGTCTGTTTGTTTGTTTATGGAAAGATAATGCTTCTAAACTTTGTTAGAATAAACCTGAAAATGTATGTCTAATTAAGCTTTTCTTTCTCTATGGCCAGGTATTGACTTTAAGTTAAAAACATTCACTGTAGGTGGGAAAAAACTGAAGCTTACCATTTGGGACACAGGTAATGAAGATGTAGGTTTAGTATGCATGTATTCTTTGATTTTTTTTGGTTTTGTATTTTGTGTTTTGCGGTGCAAGACTTTTTGACTCAAGGGCATGTTTTTCCTCTGATCCAAACAAGCTGAAATTCTGAATTCATTTTGCCTTCTGCAGCGGGACAAGAAAGGTTTAGGACGTTGACGAGCTCTTACTATAGAGGTGCTCAGGGCATCATTCTTGGTATGTCAAAGATGATGATAAAATGACAATCTTAGTATATATATCCTGGTTGTTTGGTAGCTATAGCCTCTATGTTATGCAGTTTGTCCTTATGGTTGACATGTGTAGTCAATATTATTTCAATAATCTCTGTAACATTATATATTCTCATGTACTTAATTGCTTGTATTTTTCCATTAAGAAGCTCGATTTCATCTGGTTTGCAGTTTACGATGTGACAAAGAGAGAAACCTTCACAAACCTGTCTGATGTGTGGGCAAGAGAGGTGGAGCTTTACTCAACAAATAAGAATTGTGTAAAAATTCTTGTTGGGAACAAAGTTGACATAGTAAGTTGTATGAAAAAGGGTTTTGTTATATTTGTATGTAGGGAGAAAGGGTAAGTAAAAAAGCATGTCTTGAAGCTCATGCAAATGATGCATTATATTTTCAGGAATCTGAAAGAGCTGTCAGCAAAGAAGAAGGTTTAACTCTTGCAGAAGAGCTGGGAAGTTTATTTGTTGAATGCAGCGCTATAACTCGAGAAAATGTGGAGCAGTGCTTCGAAGAACTCGCCTTAAAGGTCAGACACTAGCTACATACTCACCATTAGCAGATCGAGTTTAGGATGTTAAAAACATGTGAAAATGGATTTTTAATGTTTCCAGATAATGGAGGTTCCCAGTCTATTGCAAGAAGGATCAGGGATAGGGAAGAGAAACGTGTTAAAGCAGAATCAAGGACTACACCAGAAACGACCCTTCGGCTGTTGTTCATCATCATAGGATGGATAAATTAGATTGAGCAAGTTAAAAGGCCGGGGAGTGCAATGGATGATGGGGCTGGCCATGGCACAACACCGAGTTTATGATTTTGTGTTCGTGGTCGGCCTGTTAGTTGCTTGTGCTTCACACTCTCATTTGTCTCTGGGAATGCTGCAATATATATAATGGCTTCAATTCTGTTGCGTTAGTTGCTTGCATGCAGGCTGCAGCCTGGCCTGTGCGTAAAATATTGGCCGCTTTGGGGTTTCGTCTTTTTCCTACCACTGGGCATTTACATACATGTTTCCTGTGATAGATGTAAACCTTAACCTTGTACTCTTTTACGGAAAAATTTTATTAAATGAAAATAGTTGATTGCAATTCGCTCTTGTGTGTTGGAAACATGTTAAATCATATCAATTTTTGGATTCTCATTTCTCAACAATCTAGGATGACCTTGAAACTTTTCTTAGAGCATCCACACTAGTGCATAATGTGGGGAGAATGCAGCATTAATTCACTCCATTCAAGTTTATAGCTAATGTGGGGGAAAATTAATAAGGGAAGAATTCATCTGCAAAATAAGAAATAATGGCAGAAAAAGAGGAAGAAAAAAAAAAAAGAAACATGTTCGCGCACAGCAGTCCGCCCACACGGGCGCGTCAGGCGCGCCGTTCCTGACAGTTCTTTTTTTATATTTTTTTTTTTTGCTTTTGTTTTTTTATTTTGTTTTTTTTTTTCTCCCCTTCCCATATTCTCTCTCCTAATCACTCTTAGAGAGTCTTTAAAAGTCAGGCGGTATTCAATCAAGATTTTTAAAGAGTCTTTAAAAGTCGTGTGGTATTCGATTAAGACTTTTAAAGAGTCTTTAAAAGTCAGGCGGTATTCAATCAAGATTTTTAAAGAGTCTTTAAAAGTCGTGTGGTATTCGATTAAGACTTTTAAAGAGTCTTTAAAAGTCATGTGGTATTCAAAAAGTTATGAACTTTTGTAGACTTTTTAATTTTAAGACTTTTTGAAGACTTTTGTAGACTTTTCCTTCTCAAATATAAATAGTTGAAATCCAACCATCAACCCCAAGATTTCAATTTTTCTTTCTAACAACTTTGAATGTTTTCTCTCTCTCTCTCTCTATTTAAACTCTATTTGTTCTCCCTATTTAAACTCTATAAACCTATCTAAATTCAATAAAATTATTTTTTTCTTCATTATCAAGTCTTTTATTATAATTTTATTGTTCAATATTGTTATGAATTTCTAATGAAATAGTTTTTTTTTGTTGATGTTTATTAATAATATATATAAGCAATTAGTATATAAGTCTCAGCATATTATGAATAAAAATAATAATGTTGAGAATTGATGTGGGTGAAGAACTATATAATAAGAAGAATTTTATGATATATTATTAATGTTTTGTAAGAAAATTGTAAATGATAAGAATTAAAATCATTGAAAGTTTGTAAGGGTGTATTCAATTTAGAATTTCAATGACTTTTGTAGACTTTTTAAAATAAAAAAGTTGATAAAAGTCTATGAATGTTTTTTATATAGACTTTTATAGAGTCTTATAAAGTTTTAAAAAGTTTTGAACGACTCTATGAAAGTCCATCAAAGTTTATTAAAATCTATCATTTTAAAAGTCGTTAAAAATCTACAAAAGTCATGATTGAATACACCCCCCTTACATAATCCCTCAATTCTCCCCAACTAATGTGGATGCTCTTAGTTTCTACCAGTCTTAAAACATGTGAGTCAGGAATGGCGTGTAACGTGTGTTCTTGTACGTCCTGACAATTTCAGGTACAAGAAACTCGAGTAAAATGATTGGTTAATAATGTACATATGGGGCAAATTATATCGTGCACCAAGTTTCAAAACGACGTCGTTTTGTTTAATGAAAAGAAACGGCGTCGTTTTATGCCGTTTCGCAAAAAGTAACTCTGTTATTCAGTTTCATTTTGTATACACTGCAGTTTCAGTTCAACACAATTACAGTTTCATTTTGATATAACTACAGTTTCATTCGATATTTATACACTCAATATTGAAAATGTTATTTAATTTTATTTTATATACACAGTTTCATTAAAACACAACTACATGATCATTTCGATATAACTATAGCTTCATTGCACAATATATACTCAAATATGTGAAATGTTATTCAGTTTTATTTTATATACATTGCAGTTTAATTTCATCACAACTACAATATCATTTTGATATAACTGCAGTTTCATTTGATAATATATAAATTAATACTTGAGGCAGTGTCTGTTTAGATATACTGTAGTGTCAGTTTAAATACACTGTAGTTTCAATTGGTAATTAACACACCAAAAAATGTGCGCTCCGTTAACAGTAACGGTGTGCCGTTTCTTTAGTAAAAAATGGCGCCATTTTGACTGCGGTGCACGGTGTAATATGCTTGGCAAAGCTATGTTTACCATGTCCAAACTGGAAATGAATTGGGTGGGGCAATGAAGAAGAATGTAGAAGGGTGAACAGACATAAGGCAAATCATTATATGGGTCATAATGTTGATCAAAATATTTTTTTTTAATCCTCCCACATTAAGTTTAAATCTGAGACCTTTCATTCAAGAGACCATAATTATGCCGCTCGACCACAAGACTTTTGACATAAAAAAAATTTAATATATTAAAAGTATATTAAACCAATATACTTTTAGTACTTGAATAATATATTTTTTTTTAAAATATAAAGTACATTTTTAATATACTAAAAATACATTATTTGTACGATAAATGTACATTATTTGATAGTATACAAAATAATGTACTTTCAGTACTCAAATAATGTACTTTTTATTTATGATCGAGAAATAAGAGCAGAATGTGTTGCGTTCTTTCGCGCTGGCTAAATGTGGAAAGTGAGCTGCGCTATCATCTTGCTTAACCAAAAACACCATGATTGGCTTTCGTTTAATGTATTGTATTGTGCACATGATCACTCATGGATTCGTATCTATAAAGTTAACATTAAAACTTGAGTGAGAGAGACGAGAATAATAAATCTGAGAAGAATAATAATTTTGAAAGAATGGATTGTTATTGAATAATTGAATTATACAATATAATATACATGAAGTATTTATAGCGATATAAAGAGTTATAATTAGACGAGGAATAATACAATAAATATACAAAGAGAAGAGTTTTAGTGTGACTAGGAGATAGCTAGAGTCCTAATACGCCCTCTCAAGCTTGAGGTTTTCTAGAGAGAATATTAACCTTGTTCCTTAGATCAGTGAATCTTGCTATGATTAGTGGCTTGGTGAAAATGTCTGCTAGTTGGTTTTTTGTGGAGGTGAAGCTCACTTGTATTTCTTTTGATGTCACTTTGTCATGAACAAAATTGTAGTCAATTTTAACATGTTTGGTTCGTGCATGAAACACAAAATTTGCATACAGATAGGTAGCACCAAGATTGTCACACAAAAGTTTAGGTGATTTTTGCACAGTAAGACTAAACTCTTTAATTAAAGCAACTAACCATGTGACTTCTGCTGAGACATCAACTATGGATTTGCATTCTGGTTCTGTTGAAGATCTTGCAACTGTCTTTTGCTTACGACAAGTCAGAAAATTAGACTTTTACCAAAAAAGACAGCAAAACCACTAGTGGATTTGCAGTCATCAGGACAGCCCGTCCAATCGGAGTCCGAGAATGCATGAATATTGTCTAAATTTGACTTCATAAGCCGAACACCATAGTCTAGAGTAGCTTTGACATACCTTAGGACACGTTTTGGAGCAATCTAGTGATCATTGGTTGGAGACTACTTAAATTGACAAAGCTTGTTAACAACAAAAGAGAGATGTGGACGAGTGATGATGAGATATTGGAGTGCCCCAACTATGCTGTGATACTGTGTTGGATTATCATACGGTTGAGTGGAGTCTGATGAACTTAGCTTGTTGTTGATTGGAATCAGTATGCAAATTGGTTTGCAGTGTTTCATCTCGAATCTTTTGAGTATCTTTAGCATGTACCTCCGTTGTGATAGAAGCTAAGAAGTGCCCCTTGTTGTGAACTATCTCAATCCCTAAGAAGAAGCTCAGTGGGTCATATCTTAGATTTTGAAAGTATCAACTAGCACTAGTACAGAATAGCTAATCTGCAACCCTTGTAAAGGGCTTTTTGCGACCCTTGTACAAGGATCGCATAAAGCCTTGGACTTTCAGCGATCATATCGTTGTTAAACAGTCGCTGAATGTTGAGCGTCCACGACCATTCTTAGAGAAGAACAGTAGAAGATTATAATTTTTTTTAATCTTCACTTTTTGCCATCGTTCTTAGTGAAGAACGGTCGCAAAAACCATTAATTTTTTTTTTTTTTTTTTTTTTACCATTTCTCCATAGAAACCATACATCCACACACCCATCACCCTGCTAAGCGTAAAAGTTAAAAAAAAAAAAAAAAAACCCAAAAGGAGAAGAGAAACGACAGACCAAAGCACTCATAGAAATGGTAACCAATTAAGAAGCCAGTGAAAAAAATGGTAACCAAGAAACTAGTGAAAAAAATGCTATAATATAAGAGACATAGATAAATATAAAATGAGAAAAAGGAGATAGAGAAGATATGTATACTCCATACATTACAGGGGCATCTATACACAAGAAAAACTTGCTAGAAATAAAACCATTCAACAACCATACATCCATACATTTCAGAAATACAAACCCTAAACCAAATTAAAAAAAGCTTAATCGTTTGAAGATTTTTTCAAAAATACAAACAACAGTACCTAGTTTCCAAATCTAGAGCCATAGTCGTTTCTTTCGGGCAATAGTCGAAGATCTTAATCAGACTGTCCAGACCTGATCTAGAGCATCTCGTTTAGCTTCTCCAAATCCCAGCGGCATCTCGGTCATCATCGACGGGAGCAAAGCCACCAGTTTCTTCTGCTAAGTGATAGACATATTTTACACTTTTATTTTATGTACATCTTTATAATATATTTGCATTAATTATTTACTATTATATAATAATTATTTCCTTTTAGAGTTTAATAATCAATTAGATAAATGAGTGTTTCATAACAACAGATATGCTGTGGAACCGTGTTCACCATGCACATGGTGAACACGGAATAGATCCATAATTTCTAAGCTGTCGATTCATAATTTCTATACTGTAAATTCATAATATCTATACTGTAGATTCATAATTTCTATACTGTAGATTCATAATTGATGAGAAATATACCCGAGGTTCAGGCTCCCCGTATGCTCCGTGCTCCTATTTGGATTGGGGCCAAACAGTTCGAGTCCTAGTCTAAGGGTCAAAGTCAAACCCGCCATGCTTAAGCCTATAAAAGGAGCATTGACCCTTCATTTTAGGGGTTCCTCCTTCT